CCCCAAAACCCCAAAACCCCAAAACCCCAAAACCCCGTGTTGTAGAAACTATATAGAGCAAGAAGGATAGATTTTTATTAATATAAATTTATTTTTCCAAACAACTCATGAGCCAACAGAGTTTAGATACCTTAAAAGAGAGCAGCCATATTACAATTGACATGAAGAAGGGAATTTTAGAATCAGACTACTCGTGCCTAAGAGGTGAGCATACTCCAAGTCAAACTGAGGAGTCTTGAGGACAGATCGTTGGGGAAGACGGCAAGATTTACCAACAAGGGAGATGGACTCAGTATGAACATCTCATCTTCCTCGCTTGCATCATTCATTTTGGTAGAGACTGGAAAAAGATTGAGTACCATGTCCAAACCAGGTCAGCTTCCCAAGCACGATCCCATGCCCAGAAGGTATTGAAGAAAATGGACAGGAACGCTATTATGAGAGAGATTAGACAGATCAAGAATAAGTTAAACTTTGACCCCAAAATTCACAAATGAGACAATCTCACTGTCTTAACAATAGACGGAGACAACTGGAGAGACATTCCAGGCTTGATGCCAGCCAGGTATAGAAGAAACAGAAAGAATAAGAGCAAAATTGCTTCCACCCCTCAAACAAAAATTGAGTTCCAAATTTTAAAGAATGCACAAAAAGATATGGATCAGGAGAACAAGCAAGGGAAAGGGACAAGCTTCAGTTTGACTACCCCAGATGTTAAAGACACTTCAAAAGAAGTAAAAAGCTGTCCTCCCAAACAAATTATTCCTAAATGTCATATGGTCACAAGAGGAAAGGCATTAACAGAAGCTTTTAAAGCTTCTGAATTAACTAACACCCCACAGCCAAAGCTGTACAGGGAGGCTTCAACTCCTTCCACTGTAGCTAGTACCCAGGCTTCCCCAGTGGAGTCTGAACAAAAGCTCACTTTTATTGAAGAGGAATCTGATTCCTCTACAGCTCAAATTAGTAAGGTCTCGTCTCCTTCATGCTTCAAGAACCTGAGTTCTCGCATCCAGAGAGTTGAGACAAACAGTAAGAGCGAAAATAACTCTACATCTACTAGTGATGCTTCCAACGAAGAGATTTATTTCGACTTCGATTTCCAGCCGTTCTTCAGGAACGATAAGGTGGATATCGAATTTGAAAACTTGATATCTCTCAACAGCATCCAAACAGAGCACAAGGCTTTTGGTAACACTGAGCACTCTTTTGACAACAACTGATTGTTTGGAGACTCAATTATGCCATTATCAGTCCTTTACTAGAGCAAATTTTCGTTAATTAAGTAGTTAAATTAAAAAGTTCATATAAAATTTAATAAGCCAATTTTGGTCAGTTTCCCCGGGGTTTTGGGGTTTTGGGGTTTTGGGGTTTTGGGG